TTTACAAAGCACAATGTGCAGATTTTTGATATTCGTTTTTAGTCGAATTTTCAACTATATTTTTGCATTTTCAAAAATGAATTCTTTGATAAAACGTTGGTTTTCACCAAAATATGCTCATATGAAAAATACAGTCTAGGGAATGGGTTGAACCATTGAAGGTCTGAGAATTATATGATATCCAGAAATCAGAGATTCCAAGTAATCAACATCCAATAAAGCCCATTGCTATGGTGATTGTGAAATAATGTTTTGACGTAAAATAATAGAGAATTTATGTTGGTAGCAAAAAAAAATTAGAACAAATGAAGAAGAGTAGAAATAGAGATAAGATTGGTTTTCTCCTGGGTTTCTCTAGAGTCACTGGATGTTATTAGTTTGATAAGAGTTCGGACACAGAAATGACAACGGTTAGGGTTTTTGAATGTTTAGATTTATTAAGTTACACACCTTGCATTGTGACAAGAGCACCATAGTCGTCCCGCGCTTTTTCATTCAAAATTGTTTGAATTTGACAATACATTTTATAAACGTCAGAAATGAAATAAAATTTCATAATCATTCGAGATAAATGCACTTATGGAAATCACTTGCTGTGTAATAAACTGTGCCAATTCTGAAAAAAATGAATATCATATTATATATGGAAGGAAGATATGAAATGGCCTGGGTTCAAAATCAATTCGAAATTGAGCGAAATTTGTGAGGTACTCATTGAAATTCACTTCTTATAACAGCATCTGATTAGAATGAAACTATATTTTAGGCCCATTTTCAAACAGAAGATTTCAAAATCTGTTTGAGAGAATCTGCTGTTCCATCAATTTACAAAGCAGACGATTTCGAGAACAAAATTCCATTATTATCATCATACAAAATACAAAACGAAATAATCATGGAAAAAGAGGAAATGATAGCAAAATTACATAATGAAATTGAGAATTTGAAAACGAAACTAAGAAAAGCAAGTAAACTACGAAGTGATATATTATTGAATGGTGTTTTTGGTGCCGACCAAATTTAAAATTCAACAGTGAATGGTTATTTATGTATCAAGGGAATTATTATAAGGGCCTTAATTACGCTGGAGGTTATCGTTTTGGAGATATTTTCTATATCTATCCATGTTCCTTAGCTCCTAGGGCGCTGAGTGAAGTTACTGAGAACTTTACAAAACCAAGTATTTGGTACCTACCTTTGATTTGATACAAATAACTCCATGTTTTATACTTATCACTGGAGTACAGTTTCACATACAATAAGGAATTATAGCTATAAGTTTATCCATATGTGTATATTTTCTAATATTAAAATGTTGTTTGTTACATGATGCATTCCTTTCATTTGTATAACAGTTGTTCTACTAGAAGTGTATCACTATAAATTGAAGTGGGTATTTGTACCCTATACCCATTGTCCATCTCCGGCTATGATTGATTTGACAGAAAATATAACCTCTAAAATCGTATCAGACAATCAGGCGCTACTAGGGAAATTGAAAAGACAAAGAGCAGAATATATGTCTTATTCTTTTATTCACTTAAACCATTGTATTATAGAAAATAGAAAAGGACAAAAGTTCAGCTGTGTCCGAACTCTTATCAAACTAATACCATCCAGTGACTCTAGGTTTCTCCATTCATTTTTATTTGTTGTGTCACCAACATGAAATTTACATTATTTTAAGTTGGAACCTTGAAGAAAAAGACACATTTGTCTCTCTGATAGCTGAACTTTTTCATTGAGAATAATTGAATTGGAAATGAAACTAGACAATTTCTGAATGGATTAATCACATTTAAATTCAGAATCAACATATGCAAATTGAAGTTAAACAATTCTACATTGGGTGGCAAATCAATTCAAATTCATCTCACATGAGGATTAAATGGACCATTTTAGTTCCGTGGTATATAATAATATAATGAGCTCCTTGCGAAAACAACTGATTCTGGTATATTTGCATAGTTACTAATGAATCACCATATTACAGAGGTAATAACTTCTAAATTGGGCTGAAGATTGGCTTTTATAAGTCTGAAACATTTTCCCCCCCTTGAATATCTTACATCATTAAAAGGGTGGAGATGACTTTGAACTTTCCTTCTTCCTTTTGGGACATCACGAAGGGAAAAATCAGATGAAAAGTCAACTTTGGGATCTGGGACAGATTATTAGTAGCCATAATATGTTTTTGCAGGACAGTGTATTAAATGATTTGATAATTTCTATCTGCAGCTGTCATTTCACTCCTTCCCAAATTGAAACGCGATGACCAAATGTGTTTATTTCCGATGGCAGCGCATTGAAATGCCTAAAAGTTTTTGTCCCGAGGGCCTCTGGAATGAGCAGTTGTCTTGTAACCTCACTTTTTAATCAAATGTTATGTCATGTAGACGACCACACTAGTAATGCCACTCGGAGCAATATCGGAATATCCTGCCACTTGAAAATGAAAATAATAATCAACCACGACGGGGAAGTTTCCTTCGGGCTAGTTTTTATCGAATAAGATCATAACTACTTAATAATATACAGGTTGTTCCAAATTGTAATCGGGAAAAGCTGGTAGGCGATAGAACTCGCAAAAGCAAGTTCACCTAAAATGTTTTGGAGCTTTTGTTCTTGAGATACACGATGCTGAAGCTTAAAGAGGATATACAGAAAGGTCATGTCGTAGATGATGCGGCTAATATAGTGAGGCAAAATAAAGTACTTCATAAAAAAAATGTCTATTGCATTTCTTTTAAACGGTTGCCCCATGTTATTAATGATATTCGGGCAACTACTCATACTTCTTTCATGTAAACGACTGTTCAGTGATTATGTTTTATACAGGATGGAACGAATTTTTTCCGTTTAATGAATGCATTTTTGACAGAGGTGAACAATTTCACATTTCGTTTCATCCCTTTGATTACTTTATCTTTTTTCCACAAGAATAGACAAGAATAGTATACTTTATTTCAATCGATATCTTGTACTGTTCTAGAGAAAATCGCATTTTTAAAACATATGTGCCAACCGTTTCAAAGGTAATAAAATATCTATTTATTTCAATAACATCATGGTAATTGCAGTAATTGTCATAATTGACATCAAATTATTTTGACAGTATTCAATACTTTGGTAACACCATGTATGAGTTAAGTAATGATGATTATGCATATGTATGTACTTGCATAAACTTTCAAGGTCAATAACTCCATAACAAAGTGCCATAGACATTTTTTGTTTTTTAATAAGTACTAATATTATTTTGGCACACTGAATCGGCACTAAAATACATGACATGACCTTTCTGGACACGCTGTATAGTTTTTAGTTCGCACCTCAAATGCAACTCAGCCGATTTTCGTTTTCCTTAGCAGGTTGTTGTACCACTGAAATATTTATTTTGGCGTTTCTATATTCACCGTAATTAGTCCAGTGGCGCCCAAGATAAGAACTCCGATATGAGATTTTTTGAATGATCATATTTAAGCAAACTGTCAACGTCAATTATTTTGTTCAAATCCATAATCATTAACAATGCTATTGTGATATGTAAGTACGGTTCGTCTGACAATTCTGATGAAAATTGAGAAGAATAGTCAGTTCACTAGGATAAAGGGTCCATTCTTTGAAAATGCCAGAAGTGCATAAATCTTTCCAACCATTCCAATCACGTGTTATTGATGATTATTTTTCGCAATGAAATTGTGGAGGCTAAGTTTGGTCAGAGAGTTTTATTCTGGTCCACTAAAAGCATGGCGTATCATTCGTGTCGTGATTTAAGCTTTCAATGATGTTTTTCCTTTCTCTGGAGTCCCCGAGGCTGTCGTTAATAATTCTAAGTTTTTATTCTCTTTATTATCATATTGTATCACGTGATTCACTGTGACCAATCTGGCAATGAGGTTTGCGAATGGTTCGAAAACTTTAGGCTCTCGTCTTAATCCAAATTTGAAAAAAAAAACGTTCTTTTAGAAAAAATAGTAGAGGTATTGGGAATCTTACCATTTCTCATCACATTTCAACAGAAATGACGTTTCGTATGTATATCATCCGATTGTTAGTGCCGGAAACTTCCCCGTTGAAACCAAATCCCCCTTTCCCCTCCCTAGACCGCATTGCGCTGCATGAACTCAATCTGACCTAAAATAAGGCATTGTGCAATAGGATGTTATACAACAAATAATCCTTATGGTGGTATAATCCCTCCCCTTCTTCTTCAAGTGATCAATCGAGAAAAATACTGCGAAGGCAATTACTGTTGAGGCCGATAGTAATTGGGTGCGTTTTTCATTCCAACATTTTATCATGCGCATGAATCGAAGAAACCATCAAACTGTTGCAAAATTCCGCTGGAATGTTGATGGACATCCATCAAACTGTTGTAATAAAATGCGCACTTTTGAATCACTTTTCGAGAACCCAGCAGTTTGGAGGAGATTGACATGACAGTTGACACATTTTAGTGTTGTTTGTTGTTTTGATTTGATAGAGAACAATTAATATTGAGGATTTTTGAGATTCTTGAGAGATTTTAGAAGAAAGAGTCAGTGTTAATCAATAAAATCGAATTAGCCTCTTCTGATTCTCAAGATACATGATGACTGACACACAACAAAATCCGTGTTTCCATCAATGTGTTGTATAAACCATTGTTCAATCCTTCCAGCATAAATTCCAACAGAACAATTGGTGACGTCACGACAAAAAACCGCATCTATCAGTGCACACTTTCTTCGATGGAATGAAAAACACGCCCATTCGCTATTTCAATGATGTTTTATTTCAGGATCGGACTTGAGCGAAGCTCTCGGCTGAAAATATTCTGTAAACTCGTTTTTCACCTTATTTTCATCTATATTAAATATTGTTTTGTCAGCATTTCATGTCCACTAAATGAACTCGAAAGAAAATCCCGAAATTCCCAATAACATCGTAGAACAAGCAGCACAAGCGACCAGTTAAATCCAGATCTAGCAGTACCAGATTCCTTTTAAAACTTTTTCATGTAATATTTTATTATACTTCCATTTCCAACGAAGTGTAATAAAAAATGTCTTTCATTACACGTCCAGAAATGATTTTTCCGTGCTTGCATGACTTCCCGTGTTCGGAAAAATCCCTATTTCCAGACTTGTAATAAACGGATATTTCGCACGGATTATTTGTTGCGCCTTGTCTCTTTGCGTACTGTCTCTAGATGCCCCAATTCAGGTCAGATTGAATTCGTGCCATCGCGCTTTGTAAACACCCACTGAACCGACACGCCCAACGCTCCCATCTCCGCCAATCCCGAACGAGAAACGGCAACTAGCCGCTCGGGCTGGGTATGGCCGGCGCTGGCGCAGTCATCAGGAACTGGCAGCAGCTGCCGGCCTTGACGCGCCTGCGCATCAGGTCGCTCTCGCCGGGCGGGCTGAGGCCGAACAGCCGCCCGGACGAGTGGCGCCCCCTGTCGCCGCCATCTTTCGCAGCCGAGGGGTAGACGTTCGGCCGCTCCAGGTAGTCCAGCTTCATGCTGAAGTGCTGTTGCACCACTCTGTTCACAGCCATTGCAGATTCCGCGAACTGCAAAGAATGGACAGAGATCAGAGTAAATAACCATAGACACCGCGAATCATTCATAAATCATTGAATAGTATACGATCCTTAACGTCAAACACGGATGCATGAATGGTATCGCGAATGGTGGGGATAATCCCAGACTAAATAACAATGGATAGACACTGCGATTAATTCATAAATCAATGAAAATTGTACGCCAAACATAAAGAAACGAATGAAATCGCTTACGGTGTGGATAATCTAAGAGTAAATTACAATAGATAGACAGAGATAAATCATTAACATACGCCAACAATCCTAAATATTTTATACAAGCTGATTGATAAAAACCGTTATGGCTGGGGCATAGTGCTGCTAAGCTAAGCATAAGACATTTTTATTATGAGGTCATCCATCTCAGAAAACTTTCTCCAACCACCACAATCACTGCTCCAAATATGCGTTGATTCATTTTCTTGATAATAACTTTAATATTATGATTTTGAAATTGATCTGAGCCCCAATAAATAAATATAACATTTATATCATCTATAATGTCAATTCTCTCATGCAAGATTCTGAAGTCGCTTTATTTGTAAACGTCATTCTGTTCCCACCACCGTCACCAAAATGGAAAAAATAAAACGCAACTAATTAATTCACCTAGAGAAGATAACTTCAAACCGAAAATCATTTGCTCGCGGTGATGTATCGGTGCCTTTGTCGCCAGTAAATAACAGCAATGCGGCGTTGCCACCTGTCCAAACCCAGCTCGAGGATTAAGAAGGATGTGACTTCACCTTGTCCAATTTGGCAATTTTGCCGGAATTAGGACCTGAAGAAAGATTCTATTTCACGAATCGAGTCGAATCGGCCATCTTTATTCAATATTTGGTATTCTGTTTCTCGAACGAATCGTGTAAACTCGACTCGATTCCTCGATAGCTCAAGAGGAGTCGAGTCGGTGCGTTTTGTCGATCTATCCTTATCTATCATTGAATGTTTCTTTTCATCTCCATCCCAATTTGAGGTTAGAACATCTTGTTTATGTGAAAGCACAGCTTTGAATGTGTGTAATCAACTTATTACTTCATAAATATAATGTATAATTAGTTTTCAATGTCGTTCAAACTCAGAGATGCCCACTGGGAAATGTTAATAACATTTTTAGAACAGCACAGAACATGGCCAAGGCCACAAGATGATTTTCAGAGTCTAATGATTGTGAAACCAATAAAAAATGTTAACAGGTGAACTCCTGAGAAATGGCGTAAGGTAGCATCTTTGCTATAATATATAGTTGCATAAAACCTCAGTGCACAGAATATTTGAGATTCTGTATACCGATTCCTGACCTATTTCCTCCATACTTTGACCTAAGCACTAATATGTGGGGTCTCAATGATTGTATCAGAAGATGAACCAACCTTTTTTTCAATCTAAATAGCTCAATAAATCAGTTTTCAGGTAATGAAAAAGGATTAGGTGGGTACCTACTTCTGTTTCATAGTTCTTGTCGTCCGACGAATTTGATCCAAATTTCTTTGCCTATCTCTAGCTGCTGAAATATCATCTCAACTCGAACATTCAGAATGAAATTCTTGTTTTTGTCTTTGGATTGCAAAAATTGGTATTCATAAAAACGATATAACCACCATAACCTCAAATTTGTGATGGCTTTGGGGCTATGGCCTCGGTGCTCGTTTCATTGAATCAAAATCTCATCTCATTTCGCCAAAAAACCGACGATTCCCGAAGTCGAATTCGATCGGGACTTGATCGAGCAATAGAATAGGAAGTGAATTCGACTTCGAGTTCATCATCGTATCGTACGACAATCGACGATCGTGAAACAGAATCTCCCTGCTGTTCATATTGCAATGAGGAGAGAAGTCATCTCACCTGAGACAAGTCCAGGGCGGAGTCGTTCTTCTTGATGACCTCGGGGGTAGTGAGAGGCGTATCGCTGGCGCATTCGAGCCACGGGTGCTCCAGCACCTTCTGCGCGCTGATGCGCTGTCTGGCGTTCTTCACCAGCAGGCTGGAGATCAGCTCTTTGGCCTCGTCCGATATGTTGCGCCATTCGGCATAAGGGAAATCGTACCTGCAAAATAACCATAATAATGATTTTTGGTGGAAGTCCATGGTTCCTTGAAGTGGAGTCAAATAGGGTCCCTTGATGCAAACTGACGTATTTGTCATCTAATGGCGCGTTCACATTCTGGCTTTTCGCCTCTTGGCTTATGACGTATTGTGATTCGATTGGCCGATTTATGTGGAAGCGCGTATATCAAGGTCATATGTCAAAAAGTCGATTACGATCCGACTTTTTATCTAAAACAAGCTCCGATTCCTAGGGTTTTACCTTTTCAGGTTAGTTGTTGTTGTCAACTGTGGTGAGAAATGTCATATTCAAATATTGAAAATAGTGAGATGTTGGTACAATTTCCAGTTATAGTTACATTTCATTATAATTCACCAATAAAGATTACTGAATGCTGTCAACTGCTGTTAGTATTGTTTCCTACTTTTTGATGTACTGTTTTTCTATGTAATTTCAATTAGTTATTTATTGATTGAAGTTCAACGTTATTCGAAACGGATATATTCTCGAAATTACATGAACAATGATAATTCCATTTTCTTGTTGAATATTTTGATTTTCGAATTTGGGAACAAGGTACGGACAGATCATAGCTCCTTTCTCTTTTAATCGTCTAGTGACTTTGGTTTCATGTATTGGCGTCCCTGACATGGCATTGCTGTCACGTCACATTCATAGGCGTTTATATATACAGAGTATTTATAGCATTTTCCAGAGATGTCGGTGATTCCATAGCTGCTGGCGAGCAGTGTTATCACTGGAGATGATCCCACTTGATCCTCAATGATTATTACGGAAGATACAGAGGTGCAACCATGAGAAATGTGACACACTGAGTATATTTTTGCGAATATTTCTAAAGTTGTCGAAGAAAAAGGTAGGTTAATGTATATATTTGAATATGGAGTGCCTAGGACTATCCAACTGTGCCAAAATATATACGAAGTGTTCCATTAGAAAAAAAAAATAATTGACTGCCGTATCTTCTTGATGTCACCATGTATACAATTGCTGATGATGCCAATGGATTCTACGCATAATTCTATATGGATAAAAATTTAAAATTTTTCAATATCTCTCTTCATAATGTACTCGAAAAATAAAAACGAAATCAGCAATTTTTCAATTTCCCTCTGTATCTCTGAAACGAATGAAGATATCAACACACCCAATTTTGCCCACCCTGTACATTTAGGAACTCTAGACGTTGCTACGTCACGACACGTACCTGCCCTCCTGGATGCTCTGGAAGAGCAGCTCCTGGCACGCCGAGCAGTTATCCCCTCTCTCCCAGCCGCAGTCCCTGCCGCATTTGCCGTAAAAGGGCGGATAGCCGCACAGCAGGATGTACATGATGACGCCCAAGGACCACAAGTCGCACCGCTTGTCGTACGCCGTGGTCTCCGAGTCGCCGATGAACGCCTCGACCACCTCGGGCGCCATAAATTCCGCGCTGCCCACCTGAAAAGAGCGGAAGAAGACTTCACGTCAGGTCGTGCAAATATTATACACACAATAAATGTGAGGCCTGATTGGTTTCACCAAACCACTCTTGATCCCAGATTAATGAAGCTTTCCCGCAAGGTTGGGATATACCAGGTGACACAGAATCATGGTAAACCCCCCTTTTCTCTTTGGTTTTTTCAGCTTCATTTCTGAAAGTCGGAACATCGAATATGCTCACTAAAGGACACTTTCTCGCATGTTAAAATGACATTGACTTTCGATTCTCCGGGTGTGATTGGGGTATTTCAAACGATTACGAAAATATTATCTCGCACACACAAGATGTCCTCCGGCTCAAGGTCCCTATCGGCGATGCTCTTGTCGTGCATGAAGTGCAAAATGAAAGCCACTTCGCGAATTTCGAGTTTTTTTCGAAACCATTCGATAAAAAATCGAAACTGCGACTCAGCAACGTCAGAAGTAAAGAATATCGTGCACCAATTTCTTTTCCAAAGGGGTCAAAAACAATGAATGTCGGAATTTAAAAGTTTCCTCTGCTCAAAGCTGTGACTTAATGAGCGTGACTAAATACAAAAAGCCATTTCAGGAGCGTTGGTACCTAACTTTTTTAGGGGTCAAAAATGAAAATTGTCTGAATTAAATGATTTCACTGCTCAAAGCTAGGACTTCATGGTCATGTCAGAATATGATTTGCGACGTCAGGGACGTACCTAATTTTTTTCCAACGGGGCCAGAATAAAAGATTGTAATTTGGAAATAAATTCGCTCAAAACTGTAACTTTGAACGCGTGAAAATTAAAATTGCGATCACAGGTGTACAGGGTGATTCACCATAAATATCCCCCTTCTCTAGCTCAGTTATTTTTGATCCGATTGCAAAATTCAAAGATTTTCGATTGAGTTTTTTTCCGCTACATCAGAAAGTACTATTTGATTTTTTTAAATGTAACACCCTATTTTTCATTGTATTTTTAGATTCTTCCTGAAGAGCTGATTTCATCAATGTATCACAGTTGGGGTCTAGCGAAAATGATTACAGAGATATAGGGTGTTCAAAATCAGCTCTTCGGGGAGAATCTAAAAATACAATGAAATACAGGGTGTTCCGTTTGAAAAAATCAAGTAGTATTCTGTAGATCATTTGTTCCGAGCACCCTGTAAATCATTTTAGATGATTTTTCAAATTTTTAAATCGATTGAAAACTAAGTGAGCTAGAGGGGGGGACATTTATGGAATAGGTGTACCCAAAGGGTGTAAAAATGAAGAAAATTCGGAAAATCTTGATATCGTTTGATGTGAAATCAATATTGCAACTTCAGGGACGTAACAAATTTTTTCCGAGTGCGTCAAAAATAGAGAATTTCGGAATTGCGAGTTTCCTCAGTCATCCGATTTGAAATAGAAAATCAACTTGCGTTTCCAGTATTTTTTCGAAGGGGTTAAAAATAAAAACTGACGAAATTCCAAATATCTCCCTATAAATGAGAAATGCCACTCCAGGGGCGTACCAATTTTTCTTGAAAGGAGTCAAAAATGAAAAAAATAACAAAAATTCGAAATTTCGTTTACACCCGAAAAGAACGAGAAAAAAAAAAACGAAAAAACACTCACGGGAGTCAACAGTTGCGGCGTCGCCAACGGACTGGACACGCTCGACTGGAACCGGATGCCGGAGCCGAGATCGAAGTCGCATATCTTGACGGGGAACAGCCTGTCTCTGTGCACGCACAGGATGTTCTCCGGCTTAAGGTCCCTGTGCGCGATGCCCTTGGCGTGCATGAAGCGCAGAGCGGACGCCACTTCACGCACTATCTCGGCGGCGGCCGCTTCGCTGAAGCGCTGGTGCTCCTGGATGCGTCTCAACAGCTGGCCGCCGTTTATCTGAAAAAAAAAAAGGAAATTGTACAGGCTGTCCCACTTTCGATGTCGTTACGGGATATCTCACTGATTTTCGAAGATGGACAGTTTGCGGTTTTCGCGAACTAGGGTTTTAATAAGTCATGACTTTTTCATTGGAAAGTAAAAAAATGTCAGACTCCTCGAATTGATTTTTTAGAAAGTTTTTGGTTGCCGACCGGCCTGACCGACCAGTCGTTAATGTCACGTGACTGATTACAATGACAAATACGATTAGTTTTGACCTGTCGCTTGTGAACAAAAACGGCAAAAACCTTAAAAACCGTAAACGTCACTGGTCGATAATATACCGAGAATAACACATATCCTGATATCCAAAAAATCAGATATATTAGGAATCATCTCTTTAATCGGTCATTGAATTCCTCGAGATTGATTATTCTGTAGATGGAATAATAATTTTGAACTGTCTACCAGAAATATTTCGCTCAGATGAATCATACAGTGATGTAACGCTATTTCTGTTGAATTATAAGAAATTTGAGTTACTCATTTTGAAGACTGTAGATACCCTTGCCAATTTTCGAGTAATTGGATTGTTTTGAGGTTATATTTTATATCCATGAACCACATCGACCATCAAGAAGCCCGGACGATGTGGTCTTGGATCGGTCGGTCCTGGTCGTCAATAAAAAACACCATTTGGAGATCAGTCAGTGCGGTCATCAATTAAAAACCCTGCGGTCGAAGTGTGGTCCAAGTGATCGCAACCGGTCGGCAATCAAAAACTCTCTCTTTTTGGAATCAATCCACTTTGAAAAAAATAACATTTTATTTACCTCAACAGAATACAAAAAAGGCAACAAAAAAACACTAGTTTTTATCTGTTTCATGAATCTCAAACCATACATGAGAAAATATGCAATTTTCGCAAAACAAACTGAAACTATCCTTTCAAATGAAATTAATTAATTCATATGCATATTATTTATTAAGAATATTTATTAAGAAAGTTAGTTTTCCGCCTGTGAGCGCTTCACTGTTGTCAAATATTTAAGATGGTCAGGTTTCAGATTGCCATAATGCCATCGGATTTTTATTCATATGAATTAATTCGTGCCATCTCTGCCATCGTTGGCTACTTTTTGGTGAAACTCATGATACCGTGAACAAAATTTTCATAGCCAGCTTTCTTTTTGATACACAATGCGAAGTTATTGAAAAATGTTGCATTTTGGGATCCACTCTGCATGGTGTAGTCCGATTTTCGAAATAAGTTGTTATTATTTAGATTCAACCCAGAATTATGATTTCCCCTAAATTGAATATTCTTGCTTTGCACATTTTAAAAATGAATAACACTTATATCAGGCTGATGGGACCATGTCCACAAAGCCATACAAAAAGGATATTTTTTCATAAATATAACTAGGATATTTTTTCATAAATATAACTTGGATATTTTTCCATATATATGGGAAATGAAGTAATTACGTTATCGAATTATTTTTTCTAGAAACATACCTATTATTCGACATATTTGTAAAGACACAGTTTTTATTAAATTTTTTTTAAATAACCAAAAATAGTCAGCTTTTTGACATGGAACACCGATTGACGAGAACTAGGAAGTTGCGATGAGGTTTCTGCAGTTTTTCAGCATTTCTGAAAAACCAAATCAAGGTAGAATGTAATGGTATAATCCGAATTAGGCCATATGAATTTTCAAGGAGAACCTCAAAACAACTCATTAATGATAACCAAATATTATCTCTGAATTTTTTTCTTCCAACGAGTAATTTATGATCTAACAAAGCAAATACTATTCATTGAAGCATTAAAATGTCAACAATATTTTATTTGGCCATGGATTACTATAAGAAAATATTCAAAGTTACTTTGACTCATGTGTTTATTTTTCTGGTAAAAATATTTTTAGGAAAAAACTGATAAATCAATTATTATTATAATATGTATTCTATAAATTCTGAGGATCCCTAATGTTTCACAGATTCACGATGGCTTGTAATGTTTTCCGAGATTTACTTTCATTACTGATACTGAAGAAAGACACCTGAATATAACCGGAGAAAACGATATTCAATTTATACATTCCCACAAGTCAACTGAAAAAATTCTTGGGACATTCTGACCACTGACATAAACTACTATCTAGACCGCAGATGCTATAAGAAAGAAGCACGATATCTAGAACATTAACCCACTCGCTTTGCTCGCACGTACAAATATCTCGATCATTGATCTACTAATGCATGATTGTATTATAGGCAACCAAGACTACCGCTTCCATTCACTGTTTGCACTATAACTTACGGAAGCTGCATTAAAATCAAGGATTTCATCTACTCACTGAATCAAAAGTAGGCGTTCGCTCTCATTTAAGGAAACAAAGCTGTCAATTTACTACCACGGGAAGAAAAATATATCAACTCCCGTGGGAGTTAAAATAAATTGGCTTCAATATGATCTATCGTCATTATCTGAAAGCCCTTCTTTTCTATCTAGCCATGACCATTACAGCATATGACAAGTCATTACTGATAAATACCTACTAGATTTGAGTGCAATCAATCCTGCGAATCTCGCATCAGAACAGTGAATTCAGGTTAATTATAACAGAGGTGGCTATGTCATAAAATGAAGAAACCTACCTTGGTAGAAAAAATACACTTTTTGAGTGCTTCAAAAGGTTCTCGCCACGTTCAATTACCTTTTCAAAAACCAAATAAAACTTTTCTTCGTCCTCGAAAAATTCCGTCAACTGGATGATGTTCGGGTGGCCTTGACAATGGTGGAACGTCTCCACCTCCCTGAACACCCTGGCGCGCGCATGGCCGGGCACCTTGTCGATGATCTTCACGGCGAACTCCTGGTCGGTGTACATGTTGATGCAAGTCTGCACGCTGGCGTAGGCGCCTTCGCCCAACACTTCGCCCGTCAGTTTGTACAAATCTGCAAAAAGAAGCGTTCGATATGATCGGGGGAACGGCCATTCAGCGGACAACACGGTTTTTCAGGTTTCGATAATTTGGTGGCAGGTGTGGGATGATCAGGTGAAATTTTCTTTAGACATTTTTTTGATGTTTTTTAGTATTTCCCTTGTTAATTCAGGTCTGTACGCTGTTTCACCTGTTATTTTGTACAAACCTGCAAAAAGAAGCGTTCGATAAGATCGGCAGATACGGTCATTCAGCAAATAACACGTTATTTCAGGTTTCTATAATTGGTGACAGGTGTGTGATGATCAGATGAAATGCTTTTTTGTTATGTTATTGTTTCTCTTGTTCATCAATAATTCTGACTCGTGTACATGTTTACGCAGGTTGTTACGCGGGCGTCGGCGCCTTCGCCAAACAATTAGCCCGTCAATTTGTACAAATATGCAAAAAGAAACGTTCGATATGATCAGGGAAACGATCATTCAGCGGAAAAACACGATTTTTCAGGATTTGATAATCTGGTGGCAGGTGTGGGATGATCAGATGAAATTTTCTTTCGATTTTTTTTTTTACATATAATTCTGACTCGTGTACATGTTTATGTAGGTCTGTATGCTGGCCTAGGTGCCTTCGCCCAACACATCGCCCGTCAATTTATTCAAATCTGCGAAAAGAAGCGGTCATTCAGCGGACAATAGGTTATTTCCGGTTTATATAATTTATTGACACGTGTGGGATGATCACAATTTTTTCGATATTCCTTATTATTTCTCTTGCTGATCAACAAAAATTCGAACACATTGAACAAAACTAAATATAAATGAATTACTATATTACTATTAGAAATTTATGAATGTTTTTGTGACTTGTCAGCGAGCTTGTCAGCTAGTTTTCTTCAGTTTTTGACTGCAACAGGATCCTTGAGATCCCATCGAATGAGAATCAAAGAAAAATTTTCGATTTCTATGACTACAAATGGTTGATATGGCGACGAAATATTATTATTAACCTTCCACAGTCGTCTCGGATGGAGAATCTCAAAATCTGAAATACTGTCACATACAACTGGGAGGAAAAAATATCCTATCTGGATACACTTTCATGACAAATATAATAAAACTATAGGGAAAATCTAAAAATGTAGACGATGTCTTCGTGAATCAATTAAAGTTCACTGGCAAAAGTGTATTGAAGCAAATTCAGAAATCGAACCTTTTTCACGGATATTATGTTCCTTGATTTTCATCAACTTGTTAAATCCATTGGTCATAGCTAGACAATTATTTTGTACTGTTGCTTATTCCGCATTGGTCCAGAGAATCTTCATAACATTAGGTTTAGTCAGGTGCCATAATTGCCAAAACTTTTTCATGTTTTGATTATGTGAAATGCATTAGTGAAAATAATCATAAGATTTAAATACAATGATTGAATCGTTGAGGATGAGATTTTATTTATACATAAATAAAAATAGGTTGAGCAAAAATATATATCTGATCTTCATAAACAACTGAAGTAATAGTTTGAATGGTTTATTTGATTGGATATTCACGTTAAATTTCATGTTGTAGAAATTCATGTCAATTGTGGGAAGTTAAGAAAGTTCTTCTCCAAATTTATTTTAATGATTTCTTAATGAAATACTATGATGAAAAGTACATTTCATCTTGTATTTATAAACGTTAGTGTATGCAATGAAGAAATGATATAAAAATGGAAATAATCAATTAATTAGATAAAGTAATAGTTTCTAGTGATTTCTGAATTATTTTAATAGTTGGACATTAATCTGAAAGTCGAAGGACAGTGTTGTCGTTTTGTTAATTGTTTCCCATAAAAATCGTTTTTTATACCTACTACTAGTGATTTGACGACACAACACTTGGATATTGAAACATTTTTTTTATTCTGTGAAAAATATCCATATATTATTATTTGAATATTAATAATATGTATTTCCAAACACTTTCGTTCCAATGATATTTTTGACCTTTTAAGAGAAACAAAATATTGACCAATAAAACTACTGACTTAGCGAATTCTCTTGGATTTACAAAAATGTACTGAATAAAAACAAACAAATTTTACAACAACAAATGTAAGAATAATAATTCTGCAACATAGTAAGTTCAAATATAACCTTGCCCACACTTTTTAGATAATGATATCATCAAGAAGCAGTGTTGTTTGTGTTTCTATCATTCCACATTTGGCATTTATGATATGCCACCAGGAAGTAATCTAATACAGCTAACATGAGTTTGTGACGACATAATTTGAATTATTCAAGAACATTCATTTTTATTCTGTCGGCAAATTCATTTTGACCGATAATCTATGCATTTACAAATCTCTGGGAGTCAATAGTTTTCATGGCAAACCATTGGATAAACATATTCCATTCTCCATTTTTTAAATATTCAGCACTTTTCGTTTGGCGGCTGCATTTCTTCGTGAATCGATTGTCAGCTGGCCAGTGCAACTGATGAGACTTATGGCAAGTCGAAACAGTCTGTCTTGCATCAGCTGACAATGGAGAATTACAGGTGTACATCTGACATGGATGTCTTTTCTGTAAGCATATAGACGTAGGGGTCTATATGCACAACTTAGTCGCAAGGTATGATTGATGAATCTACCTATACACCTTGCACTTAAGCCACTAGATGGCTATGAAGGCTAGATCGTCCTTCTGCCCCCTCAGGGCTTCGACTTGTTTGATATATGGAGGTACCCTTCGTGAATCTATTGTCAGCTGGCCAGCTCAACTGATGAGACTTATGGCAAGTCGAAACAGTCTGTCTTGCATCAGCTGACAATCAATTCACGAAATTTCCCTAGAATCTCTTAGTCTTGAGATTCTAGGTTTATCACCATCTGTTAGTGGAACATTGAACCACTTTGAGAATTACAGGTGTACATCTGACATGGATGTCTTTTCTGTAAGCATATAGACGTAGGGGTCTATATGCACAACTTAGTCGCAAGGTTTGATTGATGAATCTACCTATACACCTTGCACTCAAGCCACTAGATGGCTATGAAGGCTTGATCGTCCTTCTGCCCCCTCAGGGCTTCGACTTGTTTGATATATGGTGGTACCCTTCGTGAATCTATTGTCAGCTGGCCAGTGCAACTGATGAGACTTATGGCAAGTCGAAACAGTCTGTCTTGGATCAGCTGACAATCGATTCACGAAATTTCCCTAGAATCTCTTAGATTGTAAGTTAGACATGTTTTCACGTAGTTTTTATGTCATCGCAACATCATATGATGACCTTGGCCACCGAGAATTCAATGTGCCCTTATGCTGTACTTAGCGAGTTGGAATCGAATGGTAATAGATTTGCTATGAATTTCAAATAGTAGTAACGACGTAATGAAGAGTGCTAGAATGTAATAGATCTATTACTATTGTAATAGCAATCGAAACCCTGGTATGTACTCACCTTGGAAACAGGAGGAGACCAACGAGGAGCCGGTCCGCTTCTTCTTCCTGCGCTTGCGCTTCGCCTCCTCCTTGCGCCTGGCCAGCTCCCTCTCGCGCGTATCGGCGTCCATCTGGTCGCCGCTGTCGGACGCGCTGCCGCCCCCACCCGCGCCGCCGCCACTGCCGCCGCCGTCGAGGCTGTCGCCGCTGTTGCCGTTGACGGCGTTGTGGGGTTTGCTAACGCCGCCGTTGCAATCTGAAACGGAGAGAACAGAGTTTTTAGTACGATTGTACTTTTCTAGTACATTTCATACACATCTAGTACGTCAATACAATTAACAATAATCTAGTACAAAAACAAAAGCCGGAAAGACCAATAGACCAGGAGATGGTGACAGGTGACGTTCTCCCATTTCACACTGTATGGCAAACTTGAAATAATATTTTTTCATGAAATACAAAACAGCATGTGAATAAAAAACACGGAAATGTTTCGCAACTCTTAATATTATTCATAATACGATGGTGTTATTCAATGCATGCCATTTCTGTAATAAACTGGAAGCTAATAATTTCTCACTAACATTTTTCGTCAAAGAATTCCAAAAAGAAAGAACAAAATTATAAAATCTGAACATGTCACGGAATTTTCCAAATGTTTGTTCAAATTTGAAATATGATTATTCAATTCTTTCCCAAATTTTGTATGTTGAGCTGTGCATGCCATTCACGCCAATAACTTGAAATGATATACAGGGTGTTTCATAATTGAATGTCAATATTTGGGAAGGTGATTCTTGGGCCCATTCTAAGAAGAAAGTTTCGACCTTAACGTCCTAACTTTTGAGATACAGGGTGGTGAAGTTCTCAAAAATTAATGGTTTTTCATTAATATCTGTAATACCACTTACGATATTCTAATGAAATTTGGCATACTTGTACTATGTATCAAGATGCATCAGTTAGTGTACCACATTCTTTTTGGTTGCCACCAGTGGCGTTCGAATGGAATTTCACATACCTATTTTGGCAGACATTGATGGTACGCCACTGATCAATCTCGAAATTGAAATCATTCCTGAAATTGCCAATAATTTCTAAGCAAATTTGATCACAATTTTTTCAATCTGATGCACGGTTTTCACATAAAAAAATAAAAAGCTTTTGACTACATGATTATAGCTATATCTCGTTAATATGACAATATGTATCACAATGCAGAGAAATAGATTTTATTTTTTAGATCCAATTTCAGAAGTACAATTCATAGTTTATGAACTTCATATTCGTATTTGGTATTTTGGAATTATAACTTTCCATTGTAGTAGGCTATATTTTGAGAACTTTATCACCCTGTCTCTCAAAAGTCAGGACGTTTAGGTCATTCGATCATAATATGAAACTTTCTTTTTAGAATGGGCCGAAGAATCGAAAGCCTTTTTAAAAAGGCATGCAGTGTGAAATCGGAGAACTTCACCTGTCACCATCTTCTGGTCTATACAGGGTGGGTCACGGTGGATGGCCTATTAGAAGTATCTGGAGAACGAAAAAACAGAACATTCTGAAAATTAGGATGCTTCGATAATTGAACATTCTCTATTCGTCTAAAATGTTTTCATCGATACAGTGTTGCCACTTCTATCAAAAACAACTAGCAACTTCGTTATTTTAAATGGAGCACCCTGTATTTTATTGCATTTTGAACTATTGGAATAGCAACTTTTTTACCCTCTGTGTGATTTTTGTATCTAGCTTAGTTTTTTGAGGAAACATTAAAAATTCGATTTGACTCCAAATTTTGATGTAGGTGTTTTCAAGACTTCCATTGAGATTATACTCAATAACCCTATTTAGAATCATTTTGAAATATTGGAGCTTTCTCAGTCTCCATCCATACTGAATTTTGGCACCATGAACGCTTATACAGGAGGGTTATAAATAAAAATAATTAATACTTTCAACTTCAACATCCTGTATCTCAAAAACGGAACAAGTTAGGACAAATGTTTATCTGAACTTTATTTGCTAGAATGTCACAAGGAAACACCCCTTGACTTTTAGATACACCCTGTATAACACAGCACAACATTATGAAGACCAATTTTTCGTACAATATTCTCCAAACAAGATCATCTCATTATTTCAAACAATAAGAATGCTCCTAGAATTCTCAAAACCTTCTATGATTATTGAGATATTCATCGAATCAGTTTGGATATAAAAAATCTGAAACTAATGAAGAAATAATTGAAAGCACATGGCAAAAATTCACAAAATTATATAACTTTGATATTCAATATACTTGGCACATTACCAATATCAACAGATATATATTATGATTTGATTTACTGCACATTGTCAACTAAAATAAAAAAAGGAATATATTTAAAAAACTTGGGAAAAACTATATTTATTAGTCAAGGTCTAGATCAGACATTTTCCATTATTCATTCATTATGCTCAGTTTATTACAAATTCAGTTCACATGAAACGATCGCTTATTGGACTGATGAATCGGTGGTATCAAGTTTTTGAAAATTATTTCGACAGCTTATATTACATTCACTCATCAGAATCAATTTTAATATGCCAACCAAAATGCCGAATTATTTTCAACTGAATGTTGGAAATCTGTTTTCATATGCAGTTGAATGTACCATTCAAATTTTTATTTTACAACGAAGGTATAATCAGCAAGTCAAAATAAAAATATTTCCTCAGATATGAATAATAGTCCCATGAATAACGAAAATAAGTAATTTTCATATTCAAACTACGACAATTATCATTATTCAAGGACGAACCAGTAGTTATTATTATTCCGCAACATCGAAAAAATGCGGAAAAACAATGGAGTTGTGGGCGCAGAGCTTTATTCATGGAATGAAAAATAAAACACCAACTGAATTAAATATAAATAACCATAATAAAAATGTACCTGATTTTTCGTATACCATTATTTTAATCTCATCTGGTATAGAAAAGAAGGGGCATAATCAAGGCCGTGCCCAGGGGGATCCGCCCCTCCTCCGAAATTACAACCTAAATCCGACTTTTTCCCGTTAGTTACAAAATTTAATTTAGCAATTTTTTTCTTGAACCCCCCCGAAAAATTATCCTAGGCACTGCGTTGGGCAAATAAAATTTTTTAGGTCGCAGTGTATTCACCCCTTATGCACACAATATCATACAATACAGAACGGGTGTGAAAGCAGCAACGGTTTTTCTGGCAACGGTTTTTCAACTTCATTTATGGTATATGGAGGAAGGACTTTTTCTTTCGCTCAAGATTTTTCTACACAAGTCCACTAACCTGAAGAAGTTGAGAAAGGCTCCTAACAAAAAAATAATTTGTGATTTCTAAACCACCCCATAACCACCCCACATAACAGAAAAATCGTGAGACAGTTGGGAGATACCTTAATCGCGATTTCATTATGTAAATCGATAATTTTACACTAATTGAACACCCTCCATACAATGAAATAATTTGTGAACTAGAAACTACCCCTCAACAACCCTCCGAAATAGAAAATTCATAAATCAGTTGAAATTACAGTTGCGCGATGTTTTTTGATGGAAATGAATTATTCTAGACCTGCTGACTACTCTTTGTAGGGTGAAATATTTTGTGAACCAAAAACTACCCCTCAGCAACCCTCCGAAGTATAAAGATCATAAATCAGTTGAAATTCCCGTTGCATGAGATTTTTTGATGGAAATGGATAATTCTAGACCTGTTGTATACGGTTTATGGGGTGAAATAATTTGTGAACCAGAAACTACCCCACAACAACCCTCTGAAGTAGGAAAATCATGAATAATCTGTTGAAATTACAGTTGCTGAAAGTTTTTTGATGGAAATGAATTATTCTTGACCTGCAGAATACACCCTGTAAGGTGAAATAATTTGTGAACCAAAAACTACCCCTCAACGACCCTCCGAAGTGTAAAAATCATCAATTAGTTGAAATTCTTGTTGCAAGAGATTTTTTGATGGAAATGAATTATTCTAGACCTGCTGTATACGCTGTATGGGGTGAAATAATTTGTGAACCAGAAACTACCCCTCAGCAGCCCTCTGAAATAAATAATTCATAAATCTGTTGAAATTACAGTTGCTGAAAGTTTTTTGATGGAAATGAATTATTCTTGACCTGCAGAATACACCCTGTAGGGTGAGATAATTTGTGAATCAGAAACTACCCCTCAACAACCCTCCGAAGTGTAAAAATCATCAATTAGTTGTAATTCTTGTTGCGCTATGTTTTTTGATGGAAATGAATTATTCTAGACCTGCTGTATACGCTGTATGGGGTGAAATAATTTGTGAACCAGAAACTACCCCTCAGCAGCCCTCTGAAATAAATAATTCATAAATCTGTTGAAATTACAGTTGCTGAAAGTTTTTTGATGGAAATGAATTATTCTAGACCTGCTGACTACTCTTTGTAGGGTGAAATATTTTGTGAACCAAAAACTACCCCTCAGCAACCCTCCGAAGTATAAAGATCATAAATCAGTTGAAATTCCCGTTGCATGAGATTTTTTGATGGAAATGGATAATTCTAGACCTGTTGTATACGGTTTATGAGGTGAAATAATTTGTGAATCAAAAACCACCCCTCAGCAGCCCTCCGAAATAGAAAATTCATAAATCTGTTGAAATTACAGTTGCTGAAAGTTTTTTGATGGAAATGAATTATTCTTGACCTGCAGAATACACCCTGTAGGGTGAAATAATTTGTGAATCAGAAACTACCCCTCAACAACCCTCCGAATTAGAAAATTCATAAATCAGTTGAAATTACAGTTGCGCGATGTTTTTTGATGGAAATGAATTATTCTAGACCTGCTGTATACGCTCTATGGGGTGAAATAATTTGTGAACCAGAAACTACCCCACAACAACCCTCTGAAGTAGGAAAATCATGAATAATCTGTTGAAATTACAGTTGCTGAAAGTTTTTTGATGGAAATGAATTATTCTTGACCTGCAGAATACACCCTGTAAGGTGAAATAATTTGTGAACCAAAAACTACCCCTCAACGACCCTCCGAAGTGTAAAAATCATCAATTAGTTGAAATTCTTGTTGCAAGAGATTTTTTGATGGAAATGAATTATTCTAGACCTGCTGACTACTCTTTGTAGGGTGAAATATTTTGTGAACCAAAAACTACCCCTCAGCAACCCTCCGAAGTATAAAGATCATAAATCAGTTGAAATTCCCGTTGCATGAGATTTTTTGATGGAA